AATTCATTAGACAGGCCGGATCTGGCCCGCAGGCCATATGTTGGCCATGCCTGCTCTAATACAAGATTTAAGTGATTTTTAAAGCATATTCTTTCAGTATGTTAAACACCAAAATCCAAAATCAGTTAGACAAAAATGAACTAAGTATAAAACTAAACTAATTCTGAAATATAATTTCTTAAGGAGAATGGTTTTTGTAGTTATTTTAATGTGTATAATTCACAGTACTAAGATATCCATAGAGACTTCTTAGTGTTGAAAATTTACTAATTCTAAAAATAAAAGTGGCTTTATTACAATTACTTCTACCTGATAAGATCAGATTCTGGAGGATTTTGGGTTTTGACTATAACATACAGGTTTACCATAATTTATAATTTCTCGAAAAACTGGAAATGATAAATTCTAACCCAAAAAGCACTAAACAGCTATAGCAAAAGTTAAAATGGTTTCCTTCATAGTTTAATGTTAAATGTTATCAAAAAAATTTGCTCAAAAGCTAACATTTCAGCTAAAGAAAGCAAAAAATGATAATTTTTTAAATTTCAGAAATACAAATACAGGTATCCGTCATATAACACAGTAGATACATTCCGAAAAAGTGCCTTGTTGTGCAAATCCATGCTATATGAAACAAAGGACTAATGCAAAACATAGGGTTATGTTCCAGAAGTTAACAAAAGTATACTATTCTTTCTCGTTGCTAAGAATAAAGAATAAGAAATAAATAAGAATAAATAATGAATGTATTCATAGAGTTAATACTATAAAATATTTAGGTATTGAAATTGATGATAAATTACGATGGAATAATCATATTAAAATAAATAATTTAACACTGTCTTTATCTAGATTTATTGGAATACTGGAAAGAATAATGAGTTTTTTAAATTTTGAGACTGTTTTGCATTTATATCATGCTTGCATGGAACCCAAACTTCAATATGGTATTTCTGTATGGGGTACAGCTTCTTTTGTATTGAATAGGTTGCAAGTTATACAAAACAACTTTATAAGAGCATTATATAAGTTGCCTTATGATTCCTCTGTCACTTCTTTTTATAACCAGACCAAAATTGATAAAATAAAAGCTTTATATAAAAAACAAGTGCTTCTAGAAAGTTTTAAGCTAATAAAGGTGGGAAAGAAAGAATCTTATATAAGTGTTGAGTTAAATAAATACCTTATGCATTCTAACTACAACTATCAATGGAAAAATAATTTGATTCTACCAAAAGTTAAGCACTGTTTTGGATGAGATGCACCAATCTATCAACTTATATATAACTGGAATGCTTTAAAAGAAGAATACATAGATTTGAGTACTTATGGGCAATTTAAACAGGCTGTAAAAAAATTGAACTGTGATTAGTTGTGTGTATTTTTATTTTATTATTATTACTTTTTTTTCTCTATTCTTTTTATTGTTTTGTTGATTGTATATTATATATATATATGTCTGTATCTTTAGTTTTTTTTACCCTTGAAAAAGGCCAATGGTCATAGGGTTGTTTGGTTAAATAAAATAAAAATAAATAAGAGAAATATGTTTATTAAAGCAATCAATAATTAACTAACAAGCACAATTAAAAGTATGTTAATATTAACTTTAGTTAAACAAGGGTGTTTTTTTTTTCAAAGTATCATCATCATCTGAGATTTTTTTGTTGATCTTCATCAGAAATATCAGCAACATTTTCATTTTTATCATAATTTTCTACAGATGACAAAATAAAAATATATTATTACTCAATAATTTGTTCTAGTGGCTCTTATCTGTTCAATTGAGTACCAAGCAATTCTTTTTCCAGAATTTGTGCTCGAATCCTGAATTGTTCAAGTTAGAAACAGTTCAAGTACTGAGATAATGCCATATTTTGTTTGTCATTTTGACAAATGATTACTTACGTACAGTTAAAAAAAGTTTAATTACACCTGAAATATTTAAATACTTTTCTAAATATGAAGATTAATCTATAAAAACAAAACACAGTGACAGTCTTAAGGGCTAAAGTCTGAAAGCAATAACAATGACACTTGGTTGATAGGAAAGCGAAGACAAGAAAGAAAAAATTTTACTATCAGTTTCCATTATTAAAGTAAATCTGAAGAAAAGCAAAAAACCAATTGAAAATTTCAATATTTTAAAATCCGTGGACAAATTTGAGATAACATATATGTTTATTTGGATTAAAAAAAATCAAATAATGAAGTTTACACTGAAAAATTGAGAAACTTTGTATGGAGGATTTCCAAACTTTTGTTAGACTGAAACCAGAAGTCCTATTGTATGTGGGATATCCCCAGTTTTTGAACTGTGTTAGAGCAAAACCATGTTGTTGAAGTTCCATGCTGTATGAGGATATCTGTATTAAATTTTCACTCATGATTTAAAAGCTTCTTTGGAATTATTTTATGTACAAATGCATTGAGTTAGATAAAATATTAATAAATTAATATAAATATGTAGTATAAAAATTTAAGATTTTGGAAATACTTTTGTAAAGAGAAATTTTAATGAAATCTTTTAGAGCATCCAATATCCTTTATACTTACTGATATGCAGTTTAGAAAGTACAATCTTAAATGTTAAAATGTTCTTGTCTCTCTGTTTCACTTCATTGTAGATATACAGTATTTATAAAATTAGTGAAATAAAAAAAATACCAAGGAAAACCTTCTAAATTTTTGTATGTTGAAGATACAAATGGATATCTAATGAAATGATGATGAAACAGAAATAGTGATATGATAAAAAAAATTTCATGTTTCATTAAATGAGTTGGCTTTCAAAAGGTGTTCCCATAAATGGTAAAGACATGATGGTCTGTAATGTTGAAGTCATCAAATAGGATACTGGCATTTCATTCATCCAATTATTGTTTAGAAAACTTTATACAAAGATTTATTTCAATATTGTCTTATAACTTAAAAAGTTATTTAATAATAATTTAAATTATATAACAAAATGTTACTATAATTAGTAGAAAATAGAATTCTACACTGTTGAGTTTAAAAAATGAAACAAATAAACCAAAATTCTAGTGAAGTCATCTTTAATTTTGATGTCATTAGCAAAATGGTAGAAAGTAATGCTGTTGTTTGTAAACAAAACAGAAATATTGCATCATCAAACTAGGGCTATTGTTTTAAATGTATATAATTACTTTAATTGTCAATATTCACTCTATAGTGATGAAAAGAGCAATGAATTTATGGCTTATTAGGATGACAAGTATTGGGCCATATATCTTAATCATGAAAGTTCTCTGAAATGACATCATTATGTAGATGGGGAATAATTACTGAAAATTTATCAGCTTTTAAGATACAGATTCAAATAAAAGTGTTTAATAATATCAGTTAAAACATGAATTGAACTTGAAAATGAATGGTGGAAGAGAACTACAGGTAAGATATATGTATATGTGTCTTTGATGGTTTTGGGGAAAAAATCTGAATGGCAGAAAAATGTTTGTGGTACACAAAGAATTTTTCACATTTTCTAAAGAAGCTCTTAGTAAATTTAGACAAAGGTAAAACTTTTTGAGTTTGTAATTACAACTGAAAGTATATAATCTGTCTCAATGCATAACCTGCATCTGTTTTTAAATAAAGATAATTCATAGGTTATCCACATAAAACTAAGGTACTTGTAGTTTTCAACAGTAGCAATTTTTCCAAAAAGAAACTATGCAAGAACCAAAAAACCTGACATATTAGTAAAATCATATTACCTTAACTTGGCATACTGCTTAAATTTTTTTTATTGACAATAAACGTAGTTTTACATTTACCAATTGAGAAAAACTTGTAACATTATTGTTTATTTCATGATATAAACTAGCTAAAAATCTTGTTTTTTAAATAAATTGAAATTAAAAAAAAAATGAAAATAATTCAAGAACCATCTTGATGAAAGCTCATTCCTGTCAGCCTAAGTTTAAAGTAATTTTGAATATAAGAGCTATTGCCATTTATTTTTAATGAATTTATAAAATAAAAGAAGAAAAAAAGAATACATTAAAGTTTCATTTCATAAATTTATTGAAGCACAGTTGTCCCTTGATAATCCGACAGGTATGGGACCAAAGGTGTGTCAGATTACCAAAAGGATTACCGAAAATAATTACATATTTCGCATTGTTTTGCTAGCAGTAACTTACAATATTCTCTACTCCAACTGTTCGAACAGAACTGCTCACATAAAACACACGAAATGTGTGTCATCGAGTAAGAATTGGATGGGGAGATTCACATCGCGACATGCTTCTGTGCAAGCAGACACGTAACGGGGATGGGTACCTTGATGGGAGGTGTGTTGGACTACTGAGCATGTCGGATTAAAAAACATTGGACTATAGAGGGACAACTGTAGTTACTTTAAATTAATGATTCACAATATTAAATATTTGTTATTAAATGAATATTTTTTTTTCTTTCTCTTGATATACCACTGAAAACTTATATGAATTTTAAGCATTCCCTTTATTTGAAATCTTGTTTAAATAATATCTGACGATATTAGTATATGATTGACTCATAAATACATTGATGACATACATACAATATTGGGTACATTGCCTGGTAATGCAACTTTTAATGTAGCTGGATAATCAAACTTATGACATAGTCTGTTTCGCATGAAAGTATGTCATTGACTTGTATTAAAGCCACTTTACCAGATAACAAGATCATTGTATCATTACCTTTAAAAATGCATTCTTACATAAGAATTTTGTATTACAAATAAAATAGAAATTATATTGGAACTGAAAAATCTTATGTAAAATGACCCTCCCTGGTGACTTGGAACAGGATATATATATGAATATGTTAATAATTGTTATTAAACAAAAGAAAAAAAATGTGTTTTAAAAATCATAATGATTCAGAATGGTTAAAAACATATCAGTATAAGATTTTGTTGAAATATATTTTATAATTAGCTTATTTATTCTTTATTATACAAATTTAATTAGAATTTCTAATCTCAACAGAATGAAATGCTAGAGGAAGGTGAAGAACATGCTGTTATGCTTTATACTTGGAGATGCTGTTCTAGAGCAATTCCTCAGGTATGTTAATGGCTATTTGCATGTAATGATTGTGATATATACTAGTTTTTAAAAATCAGATTGTTAGAGTGCTGGATTATCTCTGGCATTATCAGGTATTTTAGTGATTTGGTTTTTAATATATTCATCTTTAGTTGTTGATACAGATACTATATTTTATTAGTCATAAAGTACTATAGATGTAAATAATAACTAGGACATAGCTCAACTTTGTATTATTGTGATAGAATTGAGAGGTGCTGGAAAGAAAGAAACAATCCCTGCACTTGTTAGGCATAGAAGCGGCAATCCTTGCACTTGCTGATATGGAGAGGCAATCCAAGAACAAAGTGGTTGCCATCAATTGCTTTGTTCTTGTGGTTTGTTTTTGCACCTATTTTCTATTAGGTGCATGCAAAGCTGTTTTTATTCTTGACCCTAGTCCTAAATTCTATTAGGCATGCTCATTTGCATCAGAGAGCATGGATATTGTCATTTTAATGCCTCCTTATATCAAACATGAAGTCATAGACACTGTTTTTTTTACATTTAAATGGACATTTTTGGATTCCTCATTGCAATTAATGAAAAATGGCAGTTTTATCAAAATTGATCCATTAAATTTTGAGAATGAACTCAATTCTATAAGCCCATAAAAGACATGCTAGTAAACATTTCATGACAAGTTGCATGATTTGTGCAATATTGCTTTGTCATGTGCACTTGTGTTACAATCTTATATCTCGTAAACAAAATCACGGATTCCAACTTTTTATTATATATTTTTGGATTCCTCATTACAATTAATGGTAAATGGCAAAGTTTAATCAAAATCAATTGAACTGATTTTGAGAATGAACACAATTCTGTAAGCCACATAGAAGAGGCTTCACTACTGCTCCACTTAATAATAAATACTAAATTCCATGTTATAATGATTTATTTTCTAATTAATTAATTAATTAAAAATAAGGAACTGTAGAATAATGAGCAAATTTTGATACATTAGATCTTTTACAGTTTGATTAATATAGTAATGATTAGAGGAATTTTTATATTATAGATAAACAATATTCTCATCTGCTGTTAAATTTAATAATTAAATGATTTTTTTAAATTGATTTTAATAACTTAGAATTATCTAAAAAAAGGGCAATTTAGAACAGGATTCACATATGCAATTTCTACTAAGTATATAGGCATTTAATTATCATTCAGACTATTTATTAAGCCAGATTTGTCTAATTAAATAAATTTACATATAATCATAATAGTTATTAAAAGCTAGCTGTTGGAAAAATAATATACCAATAAATGCTAAATTACCCAAAGTAATTTAGTATTTTTATAGTAACAATAAGATTATTAAGTACAGTCGACCCCCCCCATAATGTGGTAGATACGTTCCACTTTATATGAATTTCACGTTGTAGGAATCCTTAAATACATGAGCCAATCACAGCCCGGCACATGTGCAGTTTACAGACTATGGCTGTTTGAAAGGTTTTCTTCCATAAAATTAATCGATTCTAGACTAATTTGACTCAACATTTCCAAAACAGATATAATTTTTTGGGAATAATCTGTATAAACTATGCTATAAACAAAAAATTGTAGGATTACTTACCGAGTGTGCACCGTTTGACATCGCCATTGCTTAAGTCGTGGAGCAGCGCATCGAACGACGAGTGCATTTTCTGATAAGTTATTTTTCTGCAAAAAATTTGCTGAACTTTGGAGACATCATTAATAGAAATAATTTTTATGGCTGTTGAATAAGAAATGTTTTTTTCACAAGAAATGTATAAAATTACAGTACTGTATTAGACTTACAGTACCTAATTTATATACTGTACAGATGATAGTAAATGCAACTTACCCGTCTAACCTCTCCGTAGCGTGTAAGTAGTTCGGCTGCTCGTCCACTCTAGATTTGACCAATCCTGTCGCAATACAAGTCGGAGATGACGTTTTACCGCATGTTATGAGTCTCTTTTAGTGTCTTTATACGAATATGGTTGCAATTTTTTCACCGCGATATACAAATCTGCATTATATGAACCCATGTTATAGGGGGTCGACTGTAAATGCCTTCAAAATAGTGCCTATCAGTTGCAAAGTGGATCACTACTTGCTCTCTTGACTTGTGACTTAAATACCATGCATTTTTCATAACAAAGAATCTACCCATCACTGCCCTAGCTGCCTTTACAATGGGAATGATGTTCAAATCATGCTAAAAGAAGCTAACATCTTACATCCAACATGGGAGTTTGCTACCGTCAAACATCTGGAAAAATTGGAAGTATACAAGGCAGCCATAAGATCAAAAATGGATATAACCATTAAACATTGGTATTTGGTCACATGGAATTTTCTAGGGTTTCTTTATGTATCAAACACCTAAATTGGGGCCAGTTTCCAATTGAAAGTTTTCCTGGGCCTTCATGGCCCTTGCCCCTTGCTGCATTATTCCTGTGTTGCTCTGTCTTATCCCATCAATTCTTATTTACAAAATAAATAATATTGCTTCATAACCAGAAATTCATCATTTATTATTTGTTTGGATGAATGTAACCAGAATTAAATACTAATCAGTTAAGAATCTAAATCATCAAAGTTGCCAAATTCATTGTTAAACAACTGATTGTAAAGAATTTGAACTTTCAGCATGCTTATTTGAAAATCTGTGGTTCAAATCTATAAGTATGTAATGTAAAAAAATTTTAATGCTGCTATTAGAAGTAAAAACAAGTATAAACTTGTGAAAGCATAGTGTTCTAAAACTGTCACAAAAACAAACATTTGCACTTGCAGCATTGTAAATCATTGCCCATGGGAAAGGAATGCTGAATGAGCAAGTAGAAAAGGATGATCCCTTTACATAAAAATCAGTGGCAGTTCAGTTGTTGTTTTGTCTCAAAGTGTTACAGCTACAACAACTCTACAATTGTCTTTTTATATCTTTTGGCAAATTAAATTGTTAACTAACTTTTAATTAATAAATTAATTATAAATACTTTGGATAATTTTGAAATTAATTTATAAAATATCTAATCTATATATATAAAAATGAATGTATGTGTGTCTGTCCTTCATTCATTACCACGCCATTTATCCGATTGCCGTGAAACTTTGGGAAGTTGTTTAATATACTCCCGCGAAGGTTTCTGACATAGTATGATTGCCATGAAACTTTGGAAAGTTTTTTAATACACTCCCGTAAAGGTTTCTGGCATAGTACATTTATCCTACGATAGATGGCACGTGTGTATACAAGCATTTCAAATTCTGAAGACCATTTCCCCCTCCAAAAAATATCTCTATATATGCATTTGTTATTTATGATATTTGTAATAATTTTTGTTTAATCACTTTATTTCAACTTTTTTTTTGCTAATTATGTATTTGCTTGAACTTTGTTAAAACCTTAACTGTATCCCGAACAACAATCGAAGTCATAGAAGGAAATTCACCTATTTTACTGATCTAGGGATCCCCCTTTTCCAAATTTTAATATCAACTCAAAATAATTTAAAAAGACAAATTACGATAAAACGGTTTATTATCCAACTATCAGAAATTTCACAACATACCAAGGAAGAGAGGAAGGAGCAATCAAATAATCAAAATTATAAAGGATTAAAATATATATATAAATGGGGAATATCGCACTTCTGACAATCTCTGCGAGTATGTGGGCTAAATTTAAAGAATCCGTGCTTCTCACATTTACAACTGTATGTGGCCTGCTCACACGTTGGAAAACCTTCTGATTTATTCGTGTATTCACCAGACGGAAACAAAAAATATCGTTTATCCACAAGCACTCCAATAAATAAATAGAATTGAAACGACACTTTGAAATATTTTCCCGATGAAAATTAATAATAATAATAATAATATAATAATAATAAGTTTCAATAAAAATGATAAAATGTAAATTTAATTTTATCATAACGAGTTTGCTTGAATTTCGTTTCTTCTGAGATTGCAGCAATGCACGACAGGTAAGCTAGTTGCATATAAAACTAGACATTATTAAGTGATTACTTACAATAATAATTAAAAAAATTAAATAAAAAACAATCTTATTGGTTAAGAAATCAACTTGAACAATAGTGATAAATGTTTTTGAGAACTTTAAAAATAAGAACAATTTTTTTACAATAAGAACAAGTTACTTTTAAATGGAATTCCTATATCAAGTATTTCTAAAAGGTTCAAATGGATCAGATGCTTAGGCCAAGAAGACAATATTTATCATTGGAATTATGAGAAACACTAGCTTGATCTAATTAAAGCAATGACTATTCATTAAAATTGAGTTTGTTATACCAATACCAATATTTGTCATTGACAAATATTGGTATTGGTAATTCAGTATTTGTTAATTATAATAATTATCAACTCTTTTCAACATAATAATTTTCCCAGTTGTCAGAAAATTAGAGTTAAAAATTCTGGACAGTTCTCATAATCAGTGCTGTGCCAAAAACCAATGTATCAGACTGAAACTGGTAAATGTTCACAATATCAATATTCTAAAATCTAAGATATCAATATCGTAAATATTTATTGGTTTTAGTTTGATAAATCAGTTATTACCATAGCACTACTTGTAACATTAAATGAGATAATTAAATAAGACAAAATTTAATGAAAATTCTGATTGTATTGAATCTAATACTAAAAGGACATGTTAAAACAATTAGAAAAGTATAATTTGAAGATTTATTATCATCATCATCGAGCTAATATTGTTTTATCATAATCACCAGTTCTTTGGTTGGTGTTAGTCTTCGTCTGCTTTGAGTTCTTCCCAAGAACTTAGAATGCCATGATATATTGATGTAAGATGTTCACTGATGCAAGAGGTGTGGTCTTTTTCACTTGACAGGTGTTTAATTGGTTGATGTTGAGTTGTTGCAAGACTGTCCCATGTTTTTAGGAACATAACCCAGTGTGCCGATGACCACTGGGGCCTCCAATGTTGTTTTGTGCCATAGGTGTTGTATTTA